GTCCCCTCTCCTGGTACTTAGTACATGTTCTATTCTGCAGTGATGTCAAGTCCCACTTCAAAACAGTTCCTTAGGTGCAAAGAGTGACCTGGAAATATTTCTAGACAGAAATGGCAGAAGTTCAGCCGACATCACCATGGAGCTTAATGAGGGGAACGGTGGGGTGGGGGGTGCTCCCAGGACCGAGGAGCAGGCCTAGAGCAGGCAGCTCTGAGTATCCCACTCTGGCCCCAGGTGTTTTTCTAGGTCACGTGCTCACCCCTTGACTGTGACAAGTGGTAAAAGGATCCGGGGGAGGGAGTTTCCTGAGACCTTTCAGCTACCTTTCGGGGAGGGCGGGTACCTCTTCCCTTGCTGCTCCCTGTTGGGAAGGCCAGTGATCCTCTGAAAGGAAATCAGGGGAAATCCTGACAGGAGAGGGGAGTGGATTCTGAGTAGCTAAACACAGCAGGGTTGGTCACAGCTTTGTTACCTAGTAAACAGTAAATATCTGAATGGACAACCTGAAAACATGGTTACTCTCAGCAGCCAGCTTCAGCTGAATTCCTCCCTCCCCCACACCCACGCTCTGCACTTGCCTCCATCCTGCCACCAGGGGAACGGAGTGGCACCCAGTTCTCCACCAGAAGCAGAATGGGCTGTGGGAAAGCGCCCTGGGCTGCCAGTCAGGAGCTCCGGGTTCCAGGTACAGCCCACCACTCGCCCATGTGTGAACGGAGGAAGGCTGTTTGCTCTTTTGAAAAATAAAAATAAAAGCAATCTGCTTCATCTATAGCAAAATCCAAATGACATGTGGGAAATGCTTTACCAAGTAATATTACCAACCAGAGCCTGCAGAGGTGAGGGGAGGGAAGGTGTTTGTGGAAGAGGAAAGCAAACAGGGGCCTCATCAATGATGAATGCTTTAGTGAATAAATAATTCAGAGCTCTGAGAACCCTTTTAGAAGCTCTGTGTTCCTACTCAGCTCTGCCTGCTGAAAATGTTTTTCCAAAGGTGCACCTTCAGAATCAGACGCCTGGAATGTGCCCAGAGATACAGGGAAGGCCTCCCGGTATGTTGTCCTCTGGGCAGCCAAGGGCCAACTCCAGGCTCCCAGGGAGCCTGAGCACTGCTGAGCTCCCGAGGGCAGCTGAGGTCATCAGAGAGTTCACCCCAGCAGCCCCTCCTCTCTGGGTTGTCCTTGGCTATCTTTCTGCCACCCATGTGCCCGAAACCCTAATAGTCTGAAGCCTTCCCCAGCTTAACAAGGAAAATGTTTGACTAACCTTATTTCTACGCATGAGTGTTTTCTTGTCGCCATCAGTCCTGAAGTCAGGCTTATGTTCTGTCCACGCCGTGTCCTCCATAACCCAGTGCTTAAAACAGAGTAAGTATCACCATCTTTAAGATACTATCTTTTCAAATAAACTTTTTATGGGCAGAAATGTTCACAAACCCTATCTGTACAGCTAGATTAATTCACAAAGTGAACACACTTGCATAACTAGCACCAAGATCAAGCAAATAGAAATGATCAGCACCCCAGAGATCCCCTAAATTCTCTGTTCATCGCACCTCCCCCCAAAGTAACCACTATCCCGACCTCTCCCAGCATAGATAGCTTTGCCTGTTTTGAACTTCATATAAATAATGGTATGTACTATTTTGGAAGTGGTTTCACTCCAGTTATGTTTGTGAGATTTACCCACGTAATTCATTCTCATCGCTTAGTTTTCCATTGTATGAACACACCCAAATTTATCCATTCCATTGTTAATGAGCATTTGGGTTGTTTCCACTATTGGCCTATTTCCATCCTTCTTTTAGTGAACATATGTACATATTTCTGTTGAGTATAAACTTAGGAATAATTTAGAAAGGTAAGTATAATTAATGCTTTTGAATATATGTCCACCTGCATGAATGAATGAATGTCTGCAGCCCAGGGAGGGAATGGGATAGGTAAGATGAGAGATGGTGCACACCACCTACGCTCTGCACAGTCCCTTCCTGAGCTTGGCTCTTAGTGCACAGGCCCCGACTTCTGCCTCCTGCCCCAGCCAGGGGGTAGTTGGCTCAGGAGCCTGGCAGGATCTGCTGTTAAGCTGCTGGGGGGCTGGGCCTCGGTTTCACACTGGGGTACTTCCCTATAACTGAGCGAGGCCCGTAGCCCCATCCCTACCTGACATCTGTTTTCTCAGAACTCAGCACTACATCCATCTCGAAGGTCAGGATTTGGTCTTAATAGTCTTTAGGGAGCCTGAAGTCTTTAGGGAGTTTGCCCAACCCAGCCTCTTCTCTCTCCAGACGAGTGAGCTGGCCCATCATCCTTCAACACTCCCACAATGCACCCCCACCTCCACCTAAGATGGTGATTTCCAATCAACTCCCTCCCTTCATCCTCCCCATCGCTGACCTTGCCATGACCCCATTATTCCCTAAGTGGTTATATCAGGCATAATATGGGACCCAGGCGATTTCCTGTTCGATTCAGGGAACACATTGCAGCTCCAAGAGTTCAGTCTCTGACTCTTGGATATGTTGATCACGGAGTGAGAATAAATAAATCCTTTGGGGCAGAATTTAGTGCACAGGCCCTGACACTTAATCTGAAAGCACCAGTGAATTCTAGTTGGACCTACTAATCTTAGGCTGATCTCTCAGTAACCTATCCAGAGATGCCCACTGTGGGTCCCTCATTCATCTAGGGCCTTGGGTTCCTTGGGAACCCCAAATCCCTAGTGTCTTCCCCATATACTCAGTGTAGCCCCTAAATCATGCTAGGGCCACCTCTCACTATTCTAGATTCCCAGGTAAAACAGGTTCTGTGGGTCCCTGTGCAAATCCCTCCCAGGCCTTGATGAGGCTGCCCCCAAGACACAGCGCCATGCCATCTCCCCACCCGAGGCCTTCCTGAGGGCTCCTTGGCTGACTGGCCTCTATAGTGGCACTGCAGATAGACTGTTATGGCTTTTCAGGTCATTCTGCAGATACATGGCTGTGCTTACATTTGTTTCGTGAATTTTGGCATCACAGTTTACACAGGCAGATTGTAAACATGAGAGCAGAAAGCCGGCCCTAAGCCTAATTAATGCATGGGGTCCTGGTTAAGGCAGAGATCAGATGTTCACGGCTGGGTAATCAGTCAGTGAGTGCCTTGCGGTAGACTGGCCCCAGGTGGCCAGTCCAAAGTGAATGATGAATGAGGGCATGCAATAGTTGAAGGAGGCAGCTGGAACCAAAGGTCCCACCCCAACAGGGCTGGGAAGGGGAGAAAGCAGAAGCAGCTGATACCGAAAGTGATAAGATCTGAGGCCAATTCCCAAGAGAATTCACATCTGAGCATGAAGCAGCATCTAGGCTTCGTGGCAAACCCAGGTCAAGCCAAGATGGGCACAAAGCCAGAGCAACTTGGCGGCAAGGGCAACATCAGACGATGCCCAGAGGGCTGAGCTGTGGCTCCTCAATGCCTCCACCTAGAGCCAGGGGTGGTCTCAGTCTAGGGAGGGCCTAGGTGTGCAAGGTCTCGGGGCCTCAGGTGTGGGAGGAAAGACACAGATGAGGAAGAGAAGTCTAAGCAGGAGCAGGGCGAGGTTTGTCTGCACGTTGGCTAGATTTGGAATCAGCCGAAGTTTGGAGCTCTGGCCCTGCTACTTACCGGCCATTTATGTGCCTCACCTGCCTTTCTTTATAGCTGACTTAGCTCTTGGTTGCTTCAGCCATAAACTCACAAAATTACCCTGTTCCATCTACCACACAGAGTCACTGGTATGGCAGGTAAGTTGACATCTGGGAAAATGCTTGGTAAGTCCCCATTCAGATGTGTGGTACTTTGCTGGTCCACGATGCTGTGCTTTGTCATCATCTTGCAATGACGTTCCAGACCTTTTTCTTGGGATAAATCACCTGGGGTTTTATATTAGGTGACAGGCTAGGTGACATAGAGAGCTAACATGTCCCACTACAGCCCACCCTTCCTGATCTCCCATCTCCAAATTCACATGCAGAGCTTCAGGCCGGGGACTAAGAAAGATAATTAAGAAACAAATCCTCTCTCTTCAACCCACTGGCCCAAGAACTTTCTAACCATGGATGGAAGTCTGGAATGGGGTTGTACCTCAGTGGAGGCCAGTAGTTCCAGGACACACACTCTTGTCTTGTCTGGCAGGCGCACGAGCAGGTGAGATGCTGCCTGGACTCACGGGCTCTCTGCTCCCATCCCACATACCCAGCCGAGTCAGACTCCACCGGCACTCACTGACCTAGGACTCCGCATCTTCGACGTAACTTACTGGGTTTCCTTCTGATTACAAAAGTAATATCAATTCATCTTAGGAAACTAGGAAAATTCAAAAAAGCAAACAGAAAAACACCATTAAAACCTAGGAGTTTACTTTGCCTTGCTTTTCACTTCTGTTTCCATCAAATTTCCATATCTGCCTGGTTCCTAAAGGATTCCCTCTGACTCCCAGTTGCTGCTCCTTTAACCCTACTGCAGTGAACCCGAGTCCTGAGTTACTGTCTTGCCCACAGTTCTGTGTCAGCACAGAACTGGGGTGACACACCAAGGGTAAAGGCATTACCAGTTCCCGGTGATTGAACTGTAAGGAGGATGAGAGGCTAAAGTTTATTGCAGAATAAAAGTGTGTGTAGTCAGCAATTGTAAGAGCTACAATGAAATGCCTTCTAAAACTTGCCAACACAATCATGTAGACTTAAATTGGTAGAATGCACACAGAGTAGATGGGATTAGCTATCTGAAGTCACTTTGAAAGACAAGTTATCTTTTGTGAAGGCAGAAAGAGATAGCCTTGAATGCTAGTCAAGACGTGATTAAACACAGAAAAAGCTATGGCCTAATCAAAGCCCTGAGATATTTGCCCAAAGACGGATGGATGGAAGGGGGGGAGGGGTGTGTGTGTGTGTGTGTGTGTGTGTGTGTGTGTGTGTGTGTGTGTGGATGGATGGATGGAAGGGGGTGTGTGTGTGTGTGTGTGTGTGTTTTCGGGGGGCGGGGGGGAAGGTCTGTGTGGAGCACAGAAAAGGAAGAAAGAGGAAGGAAGCCTGTGGGTGTTACCCAACACTGCCTGGAGAACAGCCACCCTGGGGGAGGCATGAGCCTGTGGGAAGGTGTTCGCTGGGTTGGGGACAGGAATGGAACAGGTGCTGCTCTCCTCTCAGGCTCACTAAGCAGCTTCCTGACTCAGCCCCCAAGTATCGTGACGGTGGGAAGGGTGCTTACAAGAGTGGACAACACAGGCAAAGGGCCAACATCGTGAGCTCTAGAGCCAAAGTAACTGGGTTCAAATCCTGACTCCTTAACAAGCTGTGCCACGTGGGACACAAATGTTTACTTCTTGAGTTCTTTTCCTGGCTTGTGAGGTGGGGATGCTGAAATCTCCCTCAGAGGGTTGCTGTGATGATTACTACTCATAGAAAGCAGTAAGGTAGTTGTTGAGCTATGGTTATTAATAATACTAACAATGATATCATTGTTACTAATAATTTATTTAGCAGTGTCCAATGAGGTTACTCAAAAAAAAGTCAACTCCGGAAGCTGTTCTTTTCTGGGTGTGCTGAAAGTAAAATTGATCTCCTGGATTTGCCAGGCTGAGGTCTGGACCGTGAACCTCGGTGACCAAGTGGCCGCACCCGCAAGGACCTACTTGTGGGTAGAACTGTCTTACATGGCATTTATGAACTGAATACAAAGCTTGTGGCTTTGTGTGAAATACTGTTTGTGGGGGAATGTAAGTTTTATTTGTATAAACCTAATGTACCCAATGAAAAAGTTCTTATTACGAAGGGGTCTAAGAGTTATTATGAGTGATGACCATTAGTGTATGTTATGTATAACACTTACCTGTACTTCATAAAGTTTCTGTAAAGTTCAAATAAAGATGTAAACTGCTTATTTCCTGGTACAAGGTGAGCACTCAATATAAATGTTTCACATTTTTACAATGTTGGTTTTGTTTTGTTTAGCTCACACTGTATTGTTACTTAAATCAGACAGAACCTGTCAAAAGGGGGGACTGCAAGAAGAGAATATTCCAAAATCCAAAACATCAAATTTGTGTTGGTACAAAAGAAAAAAAATCACATTTATTTTACAAGGTAGTATTTTCCTAAAGTATTATACATAAAGGAAAGTTGAGCTGTCAGTAGGAAAACAATATAATTGTAGGAAATTACAGAATGGTCGACGTTGTGCTTAAAACTTTAAAATAGAGGTTTAAAAAATAGCACAGTAAGTGAATACTGCAAGGTATAAACAGCCTTAAAAAAGTGTATATGAACACAATGATATGGAAGCTCAATATTAAAACGTCTAGCGATGATTTGCTTTCAGACTTGTTCGGACTATTAAGAGAGCACTGCTTCGATCTTAACAGATTAGAACTCAAAGCACGAATAGAAACGTGGCCCTTTCCTAATACAGTCAACTCTCAATTATCCATAATATTGAAAGGGAGCGTAAAATTTTGAAAAGGTAAATAATTCCAAAATTAATTTTGAGAAGTGTCTTTGTACTTATTTGGATGTGAGAAAATACTGACATTCCTAGAATGACAGTACTGATGAAGTCAGCAGAACTCCCATTCCCTTCTCCCCTTCTCCTCAGTGAGAAAAGACACAATCACATACTACTTTCTAAAAAGCCTGAAATACAACTGACGTCCTTAATTCTGGTTCATATCTCCTCTGGAGAGGGGTGTAGGAAAGATAACGGTTAAAATTTTGTTTTCCTCATGTAAAAAGCCAAACTGTTGCAATAAAATGTTGCAAACGACGGAAAAATCAAGAACTGACTGTATAAATATTATTTTAACTTACGCTTTTTTCTTTAGTAGTATTTATATCGTCAAATGTATCTGGATATGTTCACACCTTTCTAAATTATCTGGTTGCATCCTACTACCCAGAGAGAAAAGTGCATAAAAGGAGTCTATTCCGATAGGTTCAGAAAGAACTGTGATGCTTCAATCAGGCCAGGAAGTAGAGGGTAAGAAATAAAACCACCACCCCCAAGACAATCACATCCTAGACTGAATCCAAAAAGTACTTCAGGGCAACACTTCTATGGTTTGGCTCTGGTTTGGGTGGTCTATTTTATTTTATTTTGTATAGTATTACAAAATACTACAAGTTTTTCCTTAAACTACAAGTTTTTCCTTAAACTACAAGTTTTTCCTTTTCAGGAAAGCAACTGTTTGTCTTTAGGGTTTTTCCTCAAATTCTCTTTTCGAATCTTGAAAATTACGAGGTAAAAAAATATCTAGAGTTGATTGGAAAGCCTTATTTGTTAATGTACCAAGTAGTTATAATGACAAAACACTTTAATTGCTGTATCATTTCTCAGAAAAGTTTTGAGCATATTTGAAACTTAAAAATTCTGAAATAAATCTTAGTGAGATAAGAAAGCTGAATTCCTCACAGCGCTTATTTTGTATCTTCTACCTAATAGCTTTTACAACTTTCAAAAAGTAGGAATGGTGCCAAGTTTCTACAAAAGCCCAAGAAAGCAGTTTTCTCCATCCACGTAGCCCAACCCTTTGTTCAGGTGAGCACGCCAGCTGGTCCAAGTTTAAAGCTTTCATATCTCTCAATGTACAAGTATTAACCAAAAGGCTACTTAACACGACTGTGTCCAGTGTCTATAATACACATTGCAGTCTAAACATTTTCTAAAGTGCCTATAAATATGTTTATACAAGTGAGCAATATAATATCAGGATTACAGAGAAATTCTTTTATATATAGAACAGGCCTAGAATTTAAGTTGAAACTACACATTTTTATATCCTTATCAGTTGTTTTTGGAATGCAAGCGTAAAGAAACAATTCTGGTTCAATCGTACATGATTTTCTAGAGAATTTAATATTAACAGTGCTAGGACAAAAGAAATTCTTGCTTGTGCTTGTTTAGAAAAGGTTATTTTGAGATCCAGGAGCATCTGATATTTAGAATCCAATGGAACATCTCCAGTTCTACAAAATAGATCATAGTAAGTGAAGCTTAGTGAGTTTTTCATTATAAAGAGCTTGTGCAAATATTTAAAGTGTTATCAATCATTATTAAATCCAAAAATTCCATTAAAATTGTGGCTAATCTGAATGGCAGTTCGCAAGTTTAAAAAACAGGAACCTAGGCAAAAGTCATAGATATTATTGATACTGGGCCCAACCCTGACACAGCCAGCTTCAGAAACGTGGTCCTGTGACCTGGTGGTGGTCTCCAATTATTCTAATGGATAGGAATGCACCTATCCATTAGGGCCCGGAGTAGAGAACTGATAGGAATGATGTAGAGAAAAAAGACCCTCCGTATGCCTACCAGGGGATTCAGTGAGCTCACCCACGGGGATGGGTGTACGCAGGGCCACAGTGCCACTGTCATCAACCTAGATAGGTGATGGCTGACTGCATGGCTTCTGGCTCCCAAGCTCCCCTTCGGCTGGCCACTCAATCACAAGAGGCACCGAGAGCCTCAGGCAGAGCTGATCACATGTCTGTCCCTAGCCCCCTGGCCTGGGCGGGCCAGGCAGATGGGGAAGCCCCTTTCTGCACTCCCGCCCGACCCGTCCTCTCCTGTGCCCTGCTGTTCCTGGAGTTCCTCTCCCCACCTTATTGGTTTGACTTGCTGAGTCCTTACATTTCAATAAGTGAAAACTTCATGCTGCATTTTCATCTAGTGTAGAAAGTTTTACCTAACATTGTTCTCAAAGGAATATGTACACTCTGCTTTCTAAACCCTGTGGATGTTTTGGGTACCTAAACCTAACAAAGTGTCCAGCCAATCACTCAAACTGCACATACACCTAGAAGAGCAGCTTCGGCCTAGAGTGATTTGTGAAGGAAGCCTATGGAGGCTTCAGGGAAGAACAGAACAGGCCTCTTCTCATTTCTTAAAATACAAACTTAGGAGTGACGTGCCAGAATGATGACAGAGCACAAGATGATGCCACAGGAGCACACTCACGGACAGTTAAAATACACGAAATAGTTCTCTATCTCCAACTTTGATAGTTCTAGTTTCATTAGGCCATATTTAAATTTCCTGGATTCTTAACTCTGCCTCACGAAGAGTAGATCTGGAGAACTGGCAGATAACCGACTCGCACAAGAACACCTGGTGTAAATGGAGATCAGGAGTAGAATTCTGAAGAGAGCAAAATAAGAATTATTCACTTATCTGCGTGTGTGAGGAAAGAGACCATGTACAACAGACTACGAGTATTACTGTAGTAAAGCAAATGAATATTACACAAAATATATTCTCCTGACTTAGCAGCAAACTATTTCGACTGCATTTGCATGTGCATAAAAAACCCATGCATTATACTGAATTCTAACCCATTTCTCGCCTAAACCATTCTAATGCTTCATACAACCAAATGAAGCAGAATTAACCAAACCTATTAGATTCATTCCTAATCCCTAAAGGACTGTTCTTAGCATTTCCATGCTAACTACAACTATTACTGTTTTTCCCTTAAGATGTCAGATGTGGTCGCCTCCTAAATATAATACTTATATAATACATAACTTCCTAAAAGTTTTCCCCAGATTTGAAGAACAATTAAGAAAAGCAGGGAAATGTTGGGGAACCCACCCAAATGCTACAACGCATTCCCCAGCTAGAAGCCAGGTACATCTCTCCTTCTCCTGGGTTCCCAGAGTATTCTGGGCACTGTGACCTGCATATGGTATCTCCCATGTTGGACAGTGGGTCCCGCTTCATGGGGAGTCAGGTCTTATTCATTCTATATCCCCAGAGCACTCTGCAGAGTGTAGGTGCTCAGCTAAAGCCGGATTGAGCATGAAATTGAAGATGTCGCCTCCTCTTAAATGAAGGTCTGGCTCCACCCCAGGGCATGGAAGGTTGCGCAGACACTGGTCACTACGAGGAGCCAAGCTGGCCTCCGGTACCCTCCTAGAAGTAACCCAGGCAACACTGGCCGAGCCCCATGCAGATGGTGGGGAGCAGGTAAAAGGGACAGAATGGCATCTACCAGTGCGCACTTTGTTCCCCTCACGTAAGCTGATTCCCATATGGGGCCAGCAGGGCAGTAAGGGTGCCTGTCAGTACTCCAAAAGTAACGCCAAGAGTTGTTCTGTGAAGAACTGACTATTTAGAAAATGCGGTCTCCTTCACTCTGGGCAGCTCCTCAACCTGATGCATGACACTCTGTGATCATCGCTTCATCACTTGCAAAGTTCCCTGTGAAATTAAGGCTGGGTCACAATTAATGACACCAGATGCTACATAGAAAGTAAGTCAAGATACAAAAGAAAACCGTTTATAAGAAAAAAAATCTGAGTTATAAGACTAATTCAAGAGTGAAGCTAATCAGCAGACCACTGAACTGCTATGGTTATTAGAGACAGGTAGAAAATACCAACTGCACTGGAAAAAGGATCCATCAGATGAAAGTACAAGAAAGCTCAGTGTGGATCAGAGGATGTGTCTTCCTGCCCGGAAGCTCACACGGTGGTTTCTATTGTTTCGATCACCTCCAGATCGGACTGCGATGGGGAGAGAAGGGTGCAGTCGTCCGGTTCCCAGCTGCTCTCTGGACTGTAATCTTCCTCTGAACTCAGTTCTGCTCCTTCTTCTGTGTCCTCATCACAGGATTCCACATAGTGAGCCCCAACTGCATTGATCCCAGAGTCCTCAGAACTTGAGGGAGAAGAGCAGTGATCTATTTTTGGTGTATTACTCTCTTTTGAAATTAAGGCATCGTGTGCAGAGACCTCCTCAGGGCTCATTTTGTGAGAATGCGGTGCCGGCTGCTTCTGCACATAACACATCTTCCCATTGATACATTTAACCTGATAGTTGTCAATAAAGAGGTCTGAGATCACACAGTACCTTGGTGAATCAGGTGGGAGGGGAGGCTGGAAGACAGATGCAAATTTCAGAAAGTGTTCGGTGAGTGAGACTGAGATCTGAATGGTATTTGTGGGTTCCTGAGGCTTCGCAGGAATCTCCGTGCTCGGAAGCTGTTCCACGGGGGTCATAGGCTGATACACGTATTTGCCTGTGGGGAACACAACAAAGGTGTTCGAGATCTGAGAGCATTACACAAACTACAGTAACGCAGCCATAATGGTCGCTTTCTGAGGCCTTAGAATGTTGTTAAAAATATTTCAATGACATTTCGAAAGAAACTAGTCATAGAATCATTCCACATTGTTATAATCAATTAAAAACAGCATGGTATATAATTTCATGGTATTTTCATCTAAGAATCTCAATACACTTTACAAATCTTAATTTATATTTGAGTCTAATGCCTCTGAAGTAGATGGTTGGATACTATAATCCTTATTTTATAGACAACTTTAAATGATTTACCCATCATACTAGATAAAGAACGTCCATGATATAGTATAGTAAAAACACAAGTTGTAAGATAGTATATGATAAATTATAATTTCATTATTTTTAATAATTATATGATAATATACACATTCAGGAACTGGAAGAATACATGCCAATTTATTATCAGGATTACAGAAAACGTTGAATTTTTAAGCTTCTGTGTTTTAATCACAATATGTATACACACGTATTTAATAGGTAATGGCCTATAGCAGCGGTCCCTAACCTTTCCGGCACCAGGGACCGCTGCTCCTATGAGAATCTAATGCCTGATGATCTGAGGTGGAGCTGAGATGGTGATGCTAGAGTTGGAGGTGGCTGCAAATACAGATGATGCTTCCCTCCTTCGCTTGCTGCTCGCCTCCTGCTGTGTGGCCCAGTACCAGACTGGTACTGGTCCGCGGCCTGGGGGTTGGGGACCCCTGGCCGACAGGATTGAGCTGGCCACCCTCAATGGCTGGAGAAAGATGTAGGGTGTGAAATGATCTCTTTTGAGACCAAAGCTCATCAGTGGCCCAAGTAGGAGATGTTCTTCCTGACACCAACTCCACTGGCACCAAGCAACATGAGCCAAGCAGAAGCAAAGGCACAGCCAAGTGCAGGGGTGACCTGCTACCCATTTCTAGGAAACCAAGCAGCTTATCTACAAACCTTCCCCTCTGCTCTGAACCCTTGGGTTTCTCACATAGTTTACATGGAAGTGAACCCTAAATGAATCTGTTCCTGGTATGTCTTTTTCCTTCTCTTTGACTTCACTTAGCGTTTAGTAAAGCCTCCCAAGTACCAAGTGCTAAGGAAACAGATACAGAGATGAGAATTACCTAGTCTGTGAGTCTAAAATGATTTCAAAATAGAAATATGAAAGGAAAACAAATCCTGAAAAACCCAGAGACAGTAGAACCAGCTTGGGTTTTTCCTAATGTAGTTATTTATCCATCAGTCTGTACTGTATCTTCTGCCTGTATTTATGACAGAGTTTTTAAACCTCAGCACTACTGGCATTTTGGACCAGACAATTCTTTGCTGTAGGGGCCTTCCTATGCACTACAGGATGTTTAGCGGCATCCTTGACCTCTACCCAGTAGATGCCAGTAGCAGCTCCTCCCCAGGCGTGACAATCAAAAATGTCTCCAGACATTGTCACATACCTCCTGTGGGGCAAAATCACCCTGGTTGAGAACCAATGACTTATGACATCCTCAGGAGCATCTCTTTGCAGGCAAATCACTCACTGGGCATGGCACCTGCTCCTGTTTATTTCTTGGTCAGACTGAAAAATTCTAGAATAGGAATCATATTTGTAATAAAAACTACCTTAGATTGTTTAAGTGAATTAATTAAGTAGAACAGCAATTTCAAATCACAAATACTGCAACATCAGTAATCTATTAGACATCAAGTGTGCCTATATTTTTCACTTGTTTTTGTCTTCTGTACAAAAAAAGGAGGCTTAGATGCCATAATTTCTTTGTAATTAAATTACCTTAAAAATATGTTCAACTCCATTCTGGAGTAACACATAGAAAAGGTACATTTAAAACTGTGAGGACTCTGGGTTGCCAGGTCTGCTTCCACGCCTAGGCATGTGTCATGTAAACCCTATGAAAATACAAGGGTGAAGAACCTGTCCTATCTGCCTGGGAAATGATGTTTAAAATATACCAGGCATCTTCATTTGTTACCTATAAAAAATGGGTACTACGCCTTGTCAGGCAGAGTTCTAATCAGGTAAAAGCTAACAGTTTAGCACGGTAGGACCTCTATTTCCAAGCATTACACACGGGCTCATCAACTGAAGGGAAAGAAGACAGACCCTCCAATCCACCAGCCCCAGGATTAGAGAAAGACATGTCCAGGCAGTGGACAGAGAAGGGACTTAGAGAACTTGGAGAACTACTCCATTCTGTCCACGGAGTGGTGAACAAAACATCTGGAACGGAGGTTTGGTCTTTTCTGTTCTTGACTGGTGGACTGGTGGTTATTGAGTTCAGGAGACTGTGGATGGCAGGCACTGGAGAACTGCTTATTGCAGAATGCTAATTACATTTATTCCAGCCAAAGTGATCCCTGGTTTAGTGACCTGCTTGTCACAGCCATAGAAGGTTCCCGGCAATTGATCTTCAGATCCAGAGGGTTCTGGCTTTAGTCCAAAGACAGAGAGACTCTTAAAGTTTGACTCTGGGGCTCTTCAAACCAACTGCACCTACTCTCACTTAACCCCCTGCCCCACCTCCTCTCCCCTTCCTCTCCTTTGTGTTTCCTCATAATTGATTTCTGTGCTTTTTCGCTTCTCGGTTCTTCTCTTTCTCTAATCCTTTCTCCTCAAAAGCACTATTTTATTTCCTTGAAGTGTAGTGAAAGAAAGAGAAATGCAGCTGGGAGAGGAAAATGAATATTGTATTCCAGATTCCATAAGTTAACTTTCTGTAAGTTAACCTACTAAATGTGCTTACTCAGAGCAAGAGAGACAGCCCCGATACCTGGTGATGTGGGACACAGATGCAAAGAGGAAAGCAGAGAAGAAAAATAGTAAAGATGGCCCGATGAGAAACAAGGTTTAGCAAACATTTTTCAAATATTATATACTATATTATTTGATTTGTTTACAAACACATAAATAATAAACTCCTCGAGCATTTAGTTTTATAAAGAGTTCAGAGGGGTTAGTGCCTTGCTCCAATCTCTAATCACCTCTGTCCTCTGTGCATTGTGCTGTGAATCGATGTTCACAGTGATAGCCCTGAACCACCACAAGATCCTGAGTCATCAGAGAAATTCAATTATGTCCACTCTACTGCACTTACTAAGAGAATAAAATGAACTAACCTACTTCTGCAATACCAAGGATTAAAACAAAGGGATTTTTGGACACAGCCAGGAAATTAAATAACAGCTATACTCTATTCTCTAAACGATCTTCTTAATTAAGAATTTACAACGTTATAAAAATAAATGCATGAGAACTTTTAAAACTTAAATCTCTAAAAGGAAAATATACTCAGAGTCTGGGCTTGGAGAAGAGCAAACTAGAGGTACAGTAAAAGAAGGATCCAGATATAATATTATCTGGCAATTCCACTTCTGGGTCTATGCCCCAAAGAACTGAAAAGCAGAGTCTCAAAGAGACAGTTGTAAACCATGTTCATAGCAGCATTATTCACAAGAGCTGAAAGATGGAAGCAACCCAAGTGTCCATAATGAATGGATAAACAAGATGTGGTGTGTACATACAATAGAATATTAGTCAGCCTTAAAGCATAAGGAAATCCATACTACAACATCAATGAACTCTGAGGACATTATTCTAAGTGAAATAAGCCAGTCATAAAAAAAAAAAAAAAAAAAAATTCTGTGATTCCACTTATATGAGACAGCCAGAGTAGTCAAATTCACAGACAGAAAGAATGGTGTTTGCCAGAGACTGGGGGAGAAGAGGGGATGGGAAGTAGCTGTTTAATGGGTATAGAGTTTCAGTTTTGCAGGATGAAAGGATTTCTGGGTGGTAGTGATGGGTGGTGGTGATGGTTGCACAACAATATGACTATATTAATACCACTAAACTGTACACAGAAAATGGTTATGATGGTAAATTTTATGTTATGTACATTTTACCATGATTTTTTAAATTAAAAAATTAATTAGTATAATTCACTATATTAATAGACTGAAAGGAAAACTTCATACAATTTTGAATATGTAAAGAATTCTTATAACTCCAAACAAGCCAGTTTTAAAGGGGTGTCACTATACAAGGGCAATATGAGGAAGCCTTGTACTGACAGAAATGTTCTGTAACTTGACTGTATCGTTGTCAGTATCTTATGATATACAGCTATAGTTGTCATTGGGAAAAAATAGGTAAAGGATATATGGGATCTCTAATTTTCTTTAATGCACTTTTGGTGGGAATGTAAAAAAACTGGTACAGTCACTACTGGAAACAGTATGGAGTTTCCTCAAAAAATTAAAAATAGAACAACCATATGATCCAGCAATTCCACATCTGGATATTTATCCAAAGAAAATGAAAACATTAATTCAAAAAGATCTATGCACCCCACATTCACTGCAGCATTATTTACAATAGCCAAGATATGAAAACAACCTAAGTGTAACATCAATGGATAAGTGGATAAAGAAAATGTCATATATATACACAAAAGAATATTATTCAGCCATAAAAAAAAGAATGAAATACTGCCATTTGCGGCAACATGGGTGGACCTTGAGGGCATTATGCTATGTGAAATAAGTCAGACAGAGAAAGACGGATACTATATGATTTCAACTATATGTGGAATTTATAAGAGCCAAGCTCATAGATATAAAGAACAGATTGGTGGTTGCCAGAGATGGGGGGTGGGGTGGTGGGGTGGGGGTAGACAGAATGGGTGAAGGAAGTCAAAAGGTACAAACTTCCAGTTATAAAATAAATAAGTTGTGGGATGTAACGTATGGCATGGCAACTATAGTTAATATTGTTTGCATTTGAAAGTTGCTAAGAGAGTAAATCTTAAAAGTTCTCATTGCAAGGAAAAAATATCTGTAACTATATATGGAGGCAGATGTTAACTAGACTTATGGTAATCGTTTTGCAATACACAAATATCAAAGCATTATGTTGTACAACTAAACTAATATAATGTTGTATGTCAA